CCAACCAATCAATCAATCAATCAACCAATCAATCAATCAAACAATCAATCATTAAAAAAAACAATCAATAAATGAATATTTATTTTTTTCCTATTTTTTAATATTTTTTTGCTACCTATCAAAAACAACCCCCCCAAACTTTTGATTTTTTTTTTTTTAATGCAGACCGACAGCGGCCGACGTGCGCAGGCCGAGCGCGCGCGCAGATTTTGAGCGCGCGCCCCCGCCTAGGCGTGGCGAGGCCGCGCGTGGACTCGTCCGCGGGCCTGCGGCCTAGGATCCCTGCCGCGGACTTGGATCCTTCGGCCGCGGCCCTGGGTGCCACGTAGTGTGTGCGTGCCTCTCCAGGCAAAGGAACAAAAACTGTGTATTTACTGAACCTATCAACTATAACCATGACTTGACTTTTGCCATGCCTACTCTTTACCCCAATATCCATAAAGTCGATGGACACTGAATCCCTAGGTCTATCAGGAATAGGCAAGGGTCTGAGAAGACCAAGAGGGGCTCGCATAGTAGTCTTGTTTCTCTAACAGACTTTACAACTGCGTACATACTCTATGCAGTTGGCCTTCATACCAGGCTAGATGTACGCACGCATGAGGTTGCCTAGTGTCTTTTGCCAACCAAAGTGTCGCTCTGTATTATGGCATTCCCCTAAGATCAAACTGGAGATCTCTTCACTGTCGGGAATAATAAGTCATGAAACCGCACGCTGATTGAGCGCGAGGTCGGCGGTAAAGATTTTGAGCGCGGCTCAATCCCGCGCTTTTGAGCGCGGCTCAATCCCGCGCTCAAAGCGCATTGAGCGGGGTTTGAGCGGGCGTGGGGATATTTTTTTGGGGGGTAAACAATGCTCAAAAAAAAAAAAAAAAAAAAAAAAGGTTGTAGATCTCTTTGAGATCTTTGAGATTTTTGAGATCTACAACCCTATGTTTTTTATTTTATTTTTTTAAGTTTTGCTTTATTTAAAAAAATCAAAAACGTAAAAAAAAAAAAAAAAAAAAAAAAAAAAAAAAAAAAAAAAAAAAAATTTTTAATGGGGGGGTTTTTTTTTTTTTTTAAAAAAAAATATTTGAAAGAAAAAAAATAAAAAAAAAAAAAAAAAAAAAAAAGAAAAAAAAATTAAAAACTAAAACCCCTTTTTTTTTTTTTTTTTGAGCATTTAAATTATTTAAAAAAATCAAAAACGTAAAGACCTGTCTCTTATACACATCTAGATGTGTATAAGAGACAGGGGCACAGCCTCAATCTTCTGCCACTCCGTGAGCCAGTCCCGTGTTGCTGTGTTGCCCTGTGACATGGTGAACAGACGGTTGATGGCGAGTGTCGGCGAGTCGTCGACGATGAACCGCTTCTTCCACAACCGTGTAAGTTCCTC